AAATTCACTTCATATTGTCCGCGAACACGAATCCGGGCCGAAACACTATATAAAATACCACAGACCGATTGATATAGCCCCAATTATCCCACATGTAATGAAGAAAGTGATAAAGGATAAGCTATCTAATCACTTACACAGGGAACGTCTCGTTGACCCCTAACAGCATGATTTCACTAACAGTAGGTCATCTACACCATGTATGATTATTTCGAAGGTTAATTATACACGGAACATGGATAAAGACTACATTACAAGAGCAGTATGTGAGCTTGTGCAGCAGCCTAAAGTAGAGGATTAGATTGAACTTAAGCTTTCCTTACGATAGTGGATCAAGTTCAAGTTCATGACATCGAGTTGGACGGTCAATGAATGAGTTATGATTTCGTATTTTTCGAGTGAAATTCCTTTGTATTCCTTCAGCCTTCAACAGATCAGATAGGCGCCATTTGGAAAATAATAATTATCAGTATTCACCGACAGGTCTTCCGCATATTTTGTAAATAATTGTTCTCGACTATCTATGAAGGAAGTTACGTATAATGAAATCATTCTCTTTATTAATAATAATAATTTATCTTAAAATAACAACATGTTACAAGAGGCGTGCCAATTTCCAGGTTAGATCAAAAAGTTTAGAATTCTAGCATATTTTATGTTAAATGTTGAGTTAGTGAAATATTTCACAAGTTACGCCGGCTTCATATAGATGGCTAAAATTCTTCACATAGAATTATAGATCATTTTCCAGACTCTGCAATGTACACTGCGAGTAAATCGCGTGAGTTACAACAGTTTCGTTACGATGAACTTCTAATGACTGCGAAACAATGCAAGGTAGAGCCAGGTCTGCATATAACAAGAACTTATGGGGTAAATGTGCAAAGACCTGGTTGATATTCTTCAGCTAATAAATTTACAGGCTCCTGGGCAAATCAACCAAGTCTTCGGTAAATATTCAGACTAATAAATAAGGACTGGATTAAGGTGCTGAAAAAAAATAAAGAGAACGGGGCGAGCAACAGAATAAAAAATATTAGTGTTTAAAACCGAACAGTGACCCAGCAGATACTTTTTGAAATTAGAACACTAACTTTAAACCTGCACCTATGTAGGTTAATGTAGACAATTCACTAGTGAGATAACAAATGGACAATTAATCGTATGAGTAGGGGAAATTCAGGAGAACCAAATTGTAAGCAACAATTTTGATGTACAGAATATAATAATGGGGCACAGTGATCTGATTCTTCTGTGTCATTTTATTTATTATTTTACTTTCTAACTTTGTGGCTCAAGAAGTTATGAGTTAGCTCTTTTTCTCTATAATTTTCCAGATCTGCTTGTAATAGGATTTTTTTGTAGGAAGTCAAAACCAGTGCAAGGTTTGGGACATGGGTCGTAGACGAGTTTAACGAGGAGAAGTAACATCACTATCACTGATTAGTTACATCCTGTTGTATCGTAAGGAGCCGTAATCAAACAAATGTTCTGCCCCATAGATATGGGTAGGTTGAGGATATCACCCTACCATCCTGAATGCTGGTCAGATACACCACCCTCCCTTCTTACTCGGCAAACCTTTTAGGAAATATGTTCAGAGAACTTTAGGCTATGTGAGTTGTGCACTTCTAGATCAGTTATCGATGTGAGTTTAAGCCGTATATTTCTGCTGAGTGAGATTATTTTTGGCAGATGTTTCTCCAAAACACGTCGCGCCGCATTTTCAGTATCTAGTTCTGAGTTCCAATGCTTATATCAGTCATCTACATTATTGAGTTCATACTGGATTGTGTGCATGCAATTTTCTATGTCACATTTGTTAGTTTTACAGATCACTTCTAGGTCATCAGCATAGACGTAGGTTTCGCCAGTGTTGAAGCAACTCCATGTAATAATATATTTATTCTCAAATAACTACGTTACAAGAGTCACGCCAGTTCACAGGCTATATCAAATTGTCACAAATGCTTTCACAATTACTGTAAATTTATAGCAGTTAGATTAAGTATAAGAGTCATTTTCTGATTGCATATTTACACCATGTCACTGACAGAAACAGTATTATACAGCCACATTTTCAATAGTAGAGTAGAAATAAGGAAGGAAGGTGCACAATAGGTACTTTTGGCGATTTGCCGAGATCAATAGTGGTTTTGTTGGGAAAGGTCATATGGAACGCGCTTGATACGAGCTGTGATCCAGACAGTCATGTATCTAGGGTGCATGCAGTGGAACCAAAATACTGCCTTGCACAACACCACTCGTAATCCCTATGAACCAACCGTCTCACAACGTACCCGTTAATTCATTCTAACAACACCCCTAAACCAATGGCTTGACATCATATAATAGCAGTATTAAATGGTAATCAGGGATCATGAAATCATTGCGATACAAGACCTGGATTTAATGAAAATACAGAGCAAGGAGAAAGTTTTAGCAAAAACAAGAGACTAAATACATCACTTTTGAGGTATTTTCAGAATTTCTCTCATATCCTACTCATGGGAGAAGCTTTTGCACTTTGTTTCTCAAAACGTGTCGTGTACAAGAGCTGACCACACTGCTTGCTATCTTCCAGAATTGGCTATATGAGCAAGAAGGCTAAGGCAAGAGAAAAAGTCTATTTGTGCACTTAATAATCTTTGGCGATACTCGTCAATAGACAAATGTTCCACCACCTTAGAAAGTTAGACTATTTGCCGACCAATGGTGTGTTTCCGTTTTCAGGATATTATTTGACAACCATCAAATGGCTTTCTCACCGGGCCACTTCTTACTTATCCGCTACATTATTGTCTTTCCGAAACTTTGGAAGGAAAAATCTAGGCGTTCTAATTTCACCCTCACGGAGCTTGTTGTTATGTCATGATTGCCAGTTTTATTCAGCAATTCGTTCAAAGTAGGATACCAGACATGTATTTTAAATTTAGCCTAATTTTTTATGCCATGCTTCTCATGCAATCTGAGGTCTCGGTTGTTACAATGCAGACACATAACAGTACAAACGAAAAGTGATCTTTCAATCAACTATGTATAATAACCCTGCATGTAGCTGAGTAGTTACTGTCAGGGATTTAAAGTGGCTTCGGAATTCGGAAGAACAGTTGTAGAACTCTAGATACACGCCTTTCCCGGATATCCCACAAAGAAAGCATTTTACCTGGGTAAGAAACGGTTCTAATTATTAATTATATAATAGAAATAATTACCTAAACAATATTTAACTGTTATTTAACACAGTTTAACACAATGTGTTTCAAATCCTGGAAGAAGGCTTCCGTATAGGGCGAAAATTGCACCCTTCCAGTCCAGACTCAAGTTTCACTGCCCAAGGTGTCAATTCCGATGTGGCTGAAGCCATAATTAAGTATCAATTTAAACAGCATAATGCAGTTCAGTAGAAAACATAGAAACTCTAATAAAAGTACGAAAAATATAAAACTATTACAAAATACACATATTAACATCACAAAATGGTATTAAACAGAGCACCAAAATGTAGCACAGAAAGAGTCAGTAAGAACATATTACAATTATGTACATGGAGGGATTTTCCAAAAACAAAGCCTTCAAATTGGATTATACAGTTACTACCTTAAGAAACTTGCTTGCATTGGTAGTGGGTATTGCCTCAGCTTCATTCTTCTTCACATAAAATTTTTTGAATAGATTACAAGGTACTTTAATAAACCCTTGTGTGAACGCACAAGGAAGAACGAAAGATATAAGATGACATTTAAAAGCCACGAAGGTACGATATATGAATTTTTGAGTGGCTTAAAGCATCGTAAAATCTCCTGAGCATCCCTTAAAATACTTACTTAGCACAGTCTGAACAGTGAATTAGGGGCAATACCCAGTAAATAGGGGCGCAGTTAAACAGAAAAAGATGTAGAAAATCACTTACTCTTTACGAGTAGCCGAATTCTAAAACTGATTGCTGACCTGATTTGTCTAAGCGACTCCACAGGAGTCCTTCATGGCGAACTTTTATATTCCCGAGGACAGTATTTCATAATGATTTACTAATATTTTTGTAACGTTCATTAAGTATAACCAAGTTCCTACCTGGTGGCCTCGCTGATTCACTATTGGTAGATTTGGAGGCCGGTTACGCAAAAGACGCTTCTGCTTCGTCCACAACCACTTGAACCCTTCATTCTAGAATAACACATACCCCATGATGGTAAAGTAAGCTACAGAGTAAATCTGTCCGGTATTAAACAGTAATAAGCACCTTTTAATGCGCGAGAAGTTTATTTGAGAATGAAATGAGCGAACCTCGAGACCCCTTTGAAAACGTCTTTCTGCAGTGAGGAACGCTCTTCTACCTCTGTGATACAGACAATAGTTCACTGACACTGTTCTCGTAATTTCGAAGCTAGAAATGAGCCTCGAGTGGCCTTTGGAAGAATCATAAATTGATGAGAGATTGTAGGATAGATGTGGTTATAACACCTAAGGTTTACTGTAGCTGGGTGCTATTTTACATATGCTCTACAGGATTTCAATTTTGAAGGCGCCAGGTTTGTTACTTTCGCCTCAAATGACCTTCAAATGGGTGAGTTTCTACGTCTCTCTGCAAAATGGGAAGTCTCTTCATATTCTAGAAGTTGCTTCTATTCTAGACAACTTTTAGTAAATTTTGAGCCCCTCTTTATGCTGCTCCCTTATTTTATATACGTCTTGCAGGTTTACACAGTTAACATCCGTAATTTTTAAATCTCACATTTGCTTGATAGACTTTCCATGAAGTTAAACTCTTAAAAGATGAATACTTAGGATATGTTACACTTTTTCTTCAAACATCAGAGTGTCTGAATATTTCAGGTTTGAAGGTGTAATAAATAGGTGTCCACAGAAGCTTAATTTATACCTCATAAAATTAATTGCCTTGTTGTCATTCAGAGTTCAGTTGATCCCTTGTTTCTAATACAAATAACTGTAGGTTAATACTTTCGTGTTATGATCACAGTAGGTGAGCATGCTTGTGTGATTTCTTTCAGTCCATTTTTATCATTTTACTATCTGGATCAAATAATGCTGTTACTTATAAGTAACCCACAACTCATCCAAGCCAATCGTGGAGCACCTGAAGGATACCAGTCGAATCAGATTTTCCAGATTACTGGATTGGGCAATTAATTTAAACGGGTATTATTTATGGCCTTCATTCTTCTTAGTCAGAAATCTTTGTGAGAAACCTAATAATGACTGATACAGGAAAGGTTTTTTTATCTTGAGCAGTGTTTTTCCCCAACTGGATTGTCGGGGAAGCTACTTCTTAGACATCTAGCTTCACTCCCAACGATTTGCATACTCACAAAAACCCCTATTCAGTGAACATACCGTATCTATCATACAAACGTGTTGCAGCTTCTGATCACGGTAGTTAAACTAGAACTAAAGACTGGAAAAAAATTGGTACACCTAATTAAGCTTGAAGCATTGTCTTCATCTAATTTTACCAAACGTGCTGGAGTTGTTTCCTGTTAGCATTTTTCTAATTTGATTAAAGAAATATCTTGGTCATATTTTTATACTAATACTCGATAAGTCCTTAGTACTGTATACTTACTACCAACCAATGATTGCTAAATCAATTCTACAATGACCATTAATGACTAACACTAACTTACCAATCATTTAAAAGACAACGATGATATAACCCTGCGCTTTATTTTCCTTTGATAAATAAACGCCTAATGTACTCATATATATAAGTTTGTGCATACTGAATTGATGACATTATGTTGTGGCTATTATTTGCTTGTTGCGAAGATTTATTAAATTTTCCGGGGGGAGTTTTATTACTACTCAGTAAGATTTCAATGTGATGTCGTATCTAAAAAAAAAACGTGAATTTTGTCAAGATTCCTGAAACACTACTGATAAATCCTGACCAGCAGAAAAGCCAGATTCAGTACGTCTATTCAGTTCCTCCAATCTATCAAATAGTAACGAAATGTAGTCTGTCTCAACCTACGTAATTATTTATTGGTATCCTTAAAACAGTAATTTTTAGTTTAATTTGTTTGACTTCACCTTCGGGGATTTTGAATCGATAAAATTTTTCCAGGTCCTACACTATCTCTATCTGGATTTTACTTGCCTCTAGGTAAGAGGCTGAGTAATTTCACCCAACTTGAAATTAAGTGAGTTATTTTGTGCCTCAGTTGTTTTGGTGATTTGGTCAGATGAAAGTTCAGTTGGTAATGTTGGCAACACTTCCTAACTGGTTAACATTCTTATTACTGCATTTTTAACCAGTTGATTTGCCATTGGGTAACACGTCATCTGTATGTTCTTTGAAGAAAAAAGTAGCGTTTATGGGGGAAAACGATCTTAGTGTGACAAACTAACAGCTAACAGTTATATTCGCTACACCGTTGCATTATTCTTACCAAATATGGTAATAAACTAATTTTCTAATTCTTCATCTCAAAGCCTTTTATGGAACCCGTGTATAGGGTCCCCTACTCAGTATAATCTCTCCAATTTTATCAGTTAACACTATTTTCGTCCACAGAAAGTGTTTTTAAATGGTCAAAATACCAATTAACAATTGCGTTTTAGACGTAAATCATTACTTTCTTGCAGTTGTTTTATATCGAAACAATTATTTTTCATTAGATAAAGGAAGCTGCCTTGGTCGTGTTCCATACAACTCGGTGATTGGTTTCATCTTAGTACTTGTTGGAGGTGGTGTTTTGTGTGGTACAATTTATTCTGGAATATCACGTATCGATACATACTTTCGGTTGTATTTTTTTCCTGTTTACTCGTAAGTTACCAACATTTGAATGTTCCACTTAATATTTTCATTGGTAGAGTTTATTGCTATTTTCTTGGTTTTGATAAATTTACCGCTAAGTGTACTAATTTCAGAGAATCCTTGTTAGTTTTCACTTAAAACTATTGCTAACATATGAAAATATCGTACACATTAATGAGTGCCATTCTGTGTACTGTATTGTTCTTTAGCACGAAAACGAAATGGGATCCATGCTTTCATGATCTGTAACTTGTATGCTGTCGTGAAAATCAATCGCTGCCACTTTTTCCTAACAACTACTTCAAGTCAATCTGAGACTGGAATGCACCAGTAATTGACTGATCACACAAAACTACTTTTTAGTCGCCTAAGTAATCCCATATATTAATTAGTCTGTCGTAAATTCAATTTTATGAAGTATATCTATGAATAATATGTTGGTATAATTATTATTTAGATACAGTCTATAAAAAAAGACAAAAGTTCTCCTGTGACAATCACAGAGGAATCAGTTTAGCTAACAGTGTCCGAAATATTAGCTTCAATAATACTTCGACTCCTAGCCATAGCCCGTGAAAAGCAGATTCGGGAAAACCAGGCTTGTTCCAGACCTGAATGTAAATATATAAACCACATATTCACATTTCGTCGGGTTCTAGCACACAAACACATTCAGACGTCCAACAATAGTTGTATTCCTGGACGGTGTTTGGTCGGTGTTTGACTCAGTCAGTCGCGAGGTTCTATGGCAGTGTCGGTCATTGAAAGGAGTACCAAAGAAGAACATTAACCTTATACAGGCTCTACTCGAACACTACTGGTCGAGTGAGAGCTTATGGCGAGAAGTCACCGAAACTGATTACCTCGAGTGGTGTTCATCAGGGCTGTCCACTTTCTCCTTTTCTATTCAACTTTGTCATAGACATGCTTTTATAGATAGCATTTTCATCGTCTGACTTTTCAACAGTTGATCTTGCACAAGGAGACTCACTTGTCTGCTAACTAAAGGACGAGTCTACTGCGCAGCAGATCTCTTCGTCCAACAACTATACGGATGTGAAACATGGCCGATAAGAGTAGAAGATATTCGTAGGTTGCTTATCCTGGGACAACCGAGTAAGCAATGCTGTTGTTAGGAAATGTGTATTAGGTAAGAATGACAGATCAATAGATGAAGTTAGTTATCAGCAACGTTGAACCTGGTACGTACGTACATTAGTTCAAGCTGCCATACTCTATTAGCATAGGGAGAACAAATTCTCAGACTATATTACCAGGTTGTAGAGTTAGTGAAAGTATCAGTAGTACTAAAAAAGATTAGGAATCGAAGATAAGATTTAAAAAAATATCGATCAGAAAAATGAGTTTCTTAAAAGTTTATGTGGAATTCAGAAGTTTAGATATTAAAGGAAGATGAAGAATAGATGCATTGCCAACGATTTTTAGCCATGTCATTCAGCGTATGTAACTAAATAAATCAGCTTCGATCAGGAGTGTCTGTTTCTACAAAACCTATCCATTCCTACTATCAATCTTAGTACAATAGACACTATGTGTGTACCAGTAAACGTTTTCCAGTTTTATGGTTTGGAAATGAAAACGTCAAGATCTAGTGAGTATGGTGGTTAGTGTAAATTTAAACTGCGTAAAAATATGATTTTATTGAAAAATTCCAATAATTTTCTCAATTCCTTTGACTAATTTCATAGTTTTCATCTAGTGAACTTATTCAGACAAACTTTGTAAATCAATAAACTTCACACTTTGTTTTCAGGTAAAAAATCTTTTTTCCTTGATCATCTTTCAAAACATCCGTTCTGTTATGTTATACCTTAGTTGTTATTGTGAATACATTACTTTCCTTCTTCACTAATCATCTCATCGTACTGCTGGGGTATGTTAACGCAGATCAATTCACATTTGTACCAGGTTTTACGTTGATTATAAATAACTTATTGAGTTACTTGTGATTTACTTCATTCTAACCTTTTTAAAAGGTATTATCACTAGTTATATCAAATGTTATTTTTTTTTCAACCTTCAGTTTACCCTATCTAAGAATTGCTGCAGTTGTAAATGGAGCTGTAGCTGTTCTACTTGCTTTTCTTATACTAATTTTCTCAACACTTGTGAATAATGCCACTCGTGGCCGCATCTATCGTGGTGATCGCTACATTATGGGTGGGCGTTGTTCAGCGGCGTTGGTAAGAATTTTATGCTTACTTTAATTAAATCAGTATGTTTAGTATAAATCATTTGTATATGTACTTGTATAGAATTTACTAGGATTCTTTTTATAGTTTGTAAAGAGTTAATTATAAGACGTTAGGCTTCTATATGGTTTATTTTTTTAAGGCTTTTAAGTGTAATTCTAGAACTACCAAACAAATACAAATTATTTTCAATATTTTACATCATGTAATGTGAACTATGAAATCCAACAATTTCTACAACAAACTCTTGTAATAGGAGGAAAGCTTTTGTAGTTTGGAAGTTGACATGATCAATTTCAATAAAAAAATTCAGGTTTCATCCTAGTTTGAATGGTTTGCTGTTGCAACTTACACAATTGTTTAAGTGTTTATGATTAGGTATTATTTAACTTGACAACACTAGTGATATTATTTGTATTGGAAATCCACTGCAACTGGTTTTAATTATTTTTACTATTAACATCTTGATAGAGGCAACTTGTGTAGTACTTCTGAAGTATTTGGGTATGTAGTTGTGATAGTCAGTTAGTCAGTCAGTCACTTGCAACGTAGAACTTCGTACGTATGTACATAAGTTCAGGTTGCCATACCACATTAGCACAGAAACGCAAATGTCAAATCAAATCCCATTGTGATAGAGATAGTAGAGGTATTAATGGTAATGAAGAAGACTAGGGTTTGAAGATATTATTCAAGAAGTATAATTCAGTGAGATAAGGCTAGAAAGACAAAGGTAGAGGTATTGACGGATCCAAGAGATTAGGATTTGAAAGAACACAATGAATGAATGCACCTGCGCCGTTGCAGATGGTTTTGAGCCATGTCGTTTTAGGTCTGTAACCATTGATGTATTTCGTTTCATGGACCCCAACGAGGTAGCCTACATCTACCAAAATGACTCAGTCCACTTTGTCATTAACTTCATGGATTTGTGCCGTGTTTTAGTTTGGCCGCCCCTGGCTTTCTTCCAACCTACTACTATACCACAAAACATCGCCCGTCGAGGCGATCGGTAGTTAGGCATATGTAACACATGTCCCATAGTTGTGATAATCAATAGCACTTGCAAAATAAAAGTATGCATCTATCTATGTAGTTAGTGTTATAGTTTTGTTTTGAATGACATTTTATTTGCTCTCCAATTTAATTATCATTATTGCCTTTTTGATTTTTTCTTTCTCTTTTTGTTTAAAAAAACATTTAGTTTATGTGCACCACATATTTAACCATAATTGTATGGTTAATATTTTTAGCATTCCTTGTTGTTCCTACATTTTGTTGGGCAATGTTCAATTCCATTTGTACTGCTGACTTAGCTGATGTTTGGCATGGACCAGGTGCACGACGTCCTGGCCCTGATGGTCGTGTTGCTCCCTCACTGTCAGAATTACGAGATCGTAAAGATTATCTGGCAGAAACGTATACAGCTCGTCTTGCTTATTATTATCAAAATCTTAATTTTGGTTATAATCCTACTGATTCACAGAATGGTTTCAGGTCTCCTTTTGTTAATCTGGGAAATTCAATTAATATGCCAAATTATCATGCCAATCGTTATTATTCTCCTGACTTTAATTATATTTTTAACTTAACACATTATGGTAAGTATGGTTTTGTTTTCTTTCGGAAAAAACAATATTGTAAATTATACTAATACTATTAATTCTCTATACCTTACTAAACTATTTGCTTTGTTTGTTATGGTTACGCAGTCATTTGAGATTAACTAATAAGTGATTAATTTATCATACATCATAGATGAACTCATATGAATTCAACTCAATTTTATGGGTATTAATAAAGATATGCGTATGTCTTTGTTCATGGCTCTGGATTATGATATCGCTTATTGTATCCATGTCAATAACACTATTTACATCAACCACATTAATTTAAAGTAGATTTGGGTGTGTATGTAATAAATAATTTCGAAAGTTGTTCAACATGATGTTTCGATCTAAAAAAATTTTTCAAGCAGAAAAGAAAACTTGAATTAGGCATCTATTTAATAAAGCCCCGGTAGATCATTATTAATTCTGTCATCTGTCAAGAGTTATTTTATTTTCTTGTATAAAAGAACTGAGCTAAGTTTCTATTTCAACTAAATACGAAGTTATATGCTTTAGATGTAACATAATTTATACTCTATTCTTTTCATTGTAATCTATCGATCAACTGAACAATATGAAGAACATAGTTTAAGTGATTTAGTTTACATTTAAACAAAGATGAATCATTTTGCATTCATTTTATGAATAATATAAGTCTATGTGTATTCGATATCTTATTGTAATGCTTCCGAGAATTGTAGTTCACTAGGTTAAAATCTTAACAAAAATAGATTTCACATTTTTGAAACCATGAATCGATCAATGTTAGACCACCATTAGAAACCTGGAAGCACTGGACGGCCGTTTCATCCTGGTATGGGACTCCTCAGCAGTGCGCATCCACGAAGACTGTGTATGAGGTTGCGCAACTCCGTGAATTTGATCAAGTTAGACATTAACACCATTGGATACCGGCTCAGTGGTCTAACGGTTAGGGCGTTCGCGCACAATACCGAAGGTCCTGGGTTCGAATCCTGCGGGATGCAGGAGTCGTGGATGCGCACTGCTGAGGAGTCCCATACCAGGACGAAACGGCTGTCCAGTGCTTCCAGGTTTCTAAAGGTGGTCTAACATTGATCGATTCATGGTTTCAAAAATGTGTAACTTAACAATCTTCACAACCCCGTAATGCAAAAATAAATTTGACTTTCAGAATGATAAAACTTACAGCCATAGAGGATATCATTTGAGCCTTCTGTATTCGTGCTGAGATTTTGTCAAACATCATGCCATCGGTACTGATGAGACTGCATCTGACTGACTAACTGATGAGACTCCTGAGTTAAGTGAAGCGGCGGTCAACATGCTCAACTGCTTCATTCCTTATCACCAGTTCAGATGCTGATACAAGTCAATCCTGAAGCGAAATTTTGCATTTGGACGGAGAGAATTGCATATCGAACATGCTTGTATTGTTACTTAGGGTAGTTAGAAGATTCTGCATTTTGTCAGCGTTTTCACCAAGTAGAAGACTAGGGATTAAAATGCTGAATAATTGCCTATATTATATATCAATAAAAAATAGTTTATTTGATGATAAAGTAAAAAAAATACTTAGTGAAATTTAACACTGGAAAATTTCCATTTTTTTTAGCAGAATTCAAAGCATGTAATTTGCATATCCTTTTTTTAAAATGTTATGCATCGTTTTGTCAGTTTTTAATAAATGATTTCGGAATTTTTTTTAATGTATCTGATAAGATAAATGTTAACATAACCTTAAAATCTAAGAGTAATACCATCATTCATATCATGTAGATGAATCTGCAGGACACAAAATACTCATCTGTCAGAATCTCATTTCATTTTTGTTTTGTTCCGACATTGGTTTTCTGACAATAAAAACGCACACAGGTTTATCGACGAACTTTATCATTATTAAAATTTAACTGAATAATTCTACAATTAATGTAATTATGATATATATAATAATATAATTATGATATAATACTCTGTTTAAATGTCACTTGTTTTTTCTTTTTAAAAACAAGTGTTCAGTTTTAATGCTAATATCTTTTTGTTAAGAACAACAACTGCAGATTCTCGTCGCTCACTATGCATGTTGTGAATCCGTACCAAAAAAAATATTTGTCTTTTTTATCCTGATTGTAAAGTGAATGTTTGTATTGGGTTTATCAATTCAATGTTGAAATTTCCAACCTCAATTTATTTCAAAAATTTGGACCTTGAAAAGTACAAACAGCCCTCTCAATCGAGAACTTCGCCTCTATTTGAAATGCTTACGTATGTAGGATTTAAAGTGAAGATTAGAGAGCTCAAGATCCACGGTTATGATTTAAGATTACGATATACAGTTTGGAGTGTACAATTAGGATCAGAATGTAGAAAATTGGAATTCACAGTTTTAGTTACAGTTACAATCAGGATTTAGGACTAAAATTTGAACTGTTTGACTGTTTGTTAATTTATATATACCCTAATTTTAACTGAAACATTAATTTGCAAATCTCAACCTTAAACTATACATCTTCTCTTCAACTTTAACCTCAACTCTTTAGTTTAGGTTCGGTAATCAACATTCTATTTCGATAGATGTGTCGTAACCCTAAACTGACTTGTTGCTGGTTGACTCTCTCCTATTATACTTCAGCTTTATTCAATCAATCAATCAATCAATCAACAGCAACGTAAAACTTCGTACGTACGTACATCAGTTCAAGTTGCCATACCACATTAGCACAGAGATGCAATTGTCAATTCAAATCCCATAGTAGTCGAGGTAGTAAAAGTATTAGCAGTAACCGGAGAGATTAAAGCTCGGCGATATTATTCAAGAAGTACAATCTAGTGAAATAAACTTAAGAGAAAAAAGATAAAAGAGATGAGCAACTCTGAAGGTAAGGATTTGAGAGAACACAAAGAATGGATGCATGTGCACCAGTGCAAACGGTTTTAAGCCATATCGTTCAAGGTCTCTAACCGTCGATTGCCATCATCTCACGGGCCCAAACCAGGTAATAGACACCTACCAACATGACTCAATCCAGTTGTCAGTGACTTCATAGATTTGTGCCATGTTTTGATTTGGCTGCCCCTAGCTTTATTGTCATCTGACAATAGAATTACAATGAAATTTCTTAATAAAATGCATCGATTCTATCCATTACATTGTGTTACAATAAATAAAAAACACACACGAGTTTTAAAATAAATCTATTGACAACTGTAGTTATTCATTCTTTTTAAAATAGATTTTCAAAAGACTAATCAGTCGACCTCTTAAGGCATAATTTCAACAATCTATTGAAACTTTTTTTTTTACACACCGAGTTAAATATTTCCCACGTAATTAAAATGGGATGTTAAATATCTGTTAAGTGTACTAGTAGAATTTAATTATTTGTCTTGACTCTCTTCTTAGTGTTGTATTAGCTTTTGTATAAATGTAAAGTATATTTCTAATTTTTTCTTCTTAAATAGGTGTTTATATTAAACCGTGGATGTATGATGAATCATTGAATTATCGTGAAGCCATTACTTCTCTAAATGAATTTGCAAGATTTTGTGATGAAGTAAGTGATTGTTCCAATTATGTTATTTATTAGTGATTAGTACTGTTATGCCTGCACGTAAACACGTCAACTTGATAAACTTGAACTATTACGAGTTTACCTAGTCGGAAAACGAGAGCGAGGATCCGGCGACACGACATGCTACTCAAATCCGATTATCCCAACCCCCATATTGAGTAAAATAAGAAGACTTGAATGTGAAGTAGAACCTGTATTCTACAAGCATCCAGAAAGTACGAGGTCCGAATCCAGAAGAGAATCAGGATCCCGGACTAGGGATCCGGGACCGGGTCCTGGTCATAAAACGTTACAGATAATGCGTATTTATACATTTTGGTCGAATAGGAAACAGCATCGAAGTCTGTGTCATTGGCAGTTAAGACGACGACCAATAGGGAGCAACATTTGAAGTTATACTGATAGACCGGAACACCAATAAGGAATAACATTGGAGCACGTGACATTGATATCTTGGACGACCATAAAATTGACCAGTAGGAATTAACCAATAGGAATAGACCAATCATTCTCTTAGGATATTGGATGAATATCGTAACAAGTATACAGTAGTGTGTTATTACTGATTGTCATTGACTTTATCAATGTACAAGATGAGATAGTAGAGGTGAAGTAGAGTGCCTGTGAAAAATCAATCAGAGAATCTATAACTTAATGAAGAATGCTAGAAAACTGATTATTGTAGAAAAATTAGATACACTCTATGTTGAGTAATTAATGCTCACTAATCAGTTCAAGTTTACTTGCACATTTTATCAATTAGCCAGTCAGTTGAATCGTAGAACTTCATACATACGTACATCAGTTCAAGTTGCCGTACCACATTAGCACAGAAACGCAACTGTCAGTTCAAATCCCATAGTAGTAGAGATAGCAGAAGTACTAGAAGTAATCGGAGAGATTAGGGTTCGAAAATGTTATTCAAGAAGTATAACTCAATGAGATAAGTTCAGAAGGAGGAAGGTAGACGTGATGACGAGTTCACAGGAGCAGGATTTGAGAGAACAATGGTTGAATGCACCTGTGTCCATTACAAGCAGTTTTGAGCTTTGTCATTTATTGGTCTCTAACCATCGAATACTATCATCTCGTGTGCCACAACCAGGTATTCGACACCTACGAACATGACCCAGTCCACTTGTCAGTGACTTCATGGATTTGTGCCATGTTTTGGTCTGGCCGCCCCTAGCTTTTTTCCAGCCCACTCCTACACCACAAATTCTAGCTCAACGAGGCAGTCAGTGGTTTGGCATACGCAACACATGTACCAAATACTTACATATTTCATCAGACAACTAAAAAATCTTAACATTACTGTAAAAAACACCTTTGGCCTTTCTATAAGCTTCTATCTTTCAATTCTTCATAACAGGTCCGTTAATGCTTGAGACGTTAATTAAACTAAAATGTGATATTTGTGTATGAAATCATTTATTGAACTGAGCCACATCAGTTGGTACATACTTTCAGGTCGAGACTTCCAATATAATCTTGGTTCGTCATTAAACATGTTAACTAACCTGGTTCTACAGTGGTCCTGTAGCATTAGTTCTATAAATTCATCGTTGTTGTTGTTGTTGAATATTTTTCATTCTTCAATTTCATTTGTTCTTTATGATCCATCATCTTTCCGTAGTCCGTATTCCTTCATAAGTTTACATCATTTTCTTGACTCACTTTCAGTTTTCATCTTGTTAATGCCCTCTCTCTCTCTTTCGCTGTGATATTGATATTATGCACTGGGGTGACTTGAATCGATACACACTATTGTGTTGGATCTTGCTTGCATCATTTTAAACTGAATGATAAACTCTTTTGCATTGTTGCTAAAGTTTTTATCAAACTTACAAACTAATTAATAGTAGCTGTTACAATTAATATGGTCACTATTTTTCACCGTACATATTTCCGTCTTAAAGTTAACTACTAATTGTAGTATTTAATATTTAGATCACCTGATTTGCTGATATTTATATATATTAACAACGCAATTCACATGTATTTCTTACAACAAGCAATTTTTTCTTAATCCTGTTTCAAGTAACACTTTTATCCATGTGATGTGAAAGGTTTCATCATAATTTTTTATTTTTGAAAAGTATTTGCTTGATTGTAAGGCAACTTTTTTTTTTATAAATGTAACTGTGGGAATTTGTTTTTCTTTTCAAATCTCAACGTCTCATTGATTGTTACTGTTGAATTCAGATTGACAAAATGGTTGTAGATAATCTTGTTTTTTTTTGTTTACTTATTTGTTTAAATTACCTTGAAACGGTTGAATTCTCATTGTCATCCACTATTGAAATGAGCAAAAATATAAGTAGAAGAAATGATTGTGTAGATGTTCATGTTTATACATGTGTTATGTATGCCTAACCACTGACTGCCTTGTCCAGTTATGTTCTACGATGTAGGAATAGGTTGTAAGAAAGCTATGGGCGGTCAGACCAAACGATGACACAAATCCATGAAATGTTCGTAGGTGTCGACTACCTGGTTGTGTCCCGTGGGATGATAATATTCGATGGTTAGAGACCATGAAATGAAATGACTCAAAACCGCTTGCAATGGCGCAGGTGCATTCATCCATTGTTCTCTCAAATCCTGATCCTGTGAATTCGTCATCTCTTCTACCTTTCTCCTTCTGAACTTATCTCACTGAATTATACTTCTTGAATAATATCTTCGAACCCCAAAATTTCCGATTACTGCTAATACTTTTACCACTACTATGAGATTTGAATTGACATTTCAATCGCTCTGTGCTAATGTGGTATGGCTACATGAACTGATGTACATACATACGTACGAAGTTCTACGTTGCTGTTAATTGACTGATGATTGTAGGTATTCTTATGGTATCTATATTACATAAATATATCATTGTAACTATGCTAGTCAATTTCTTAAAACAAAATTTTATGTATCGATATGACAATCTATATGGAAAGTTGTGAAGTATTCATTTCGCATTACATAGTTTTTACACTATCCTATCCTTCTAAGCCTTAGAAACTTTTCAGGCAAGAGTAGGTTTAGCTTAAACTTTTCTTCCTATTTTCAGACTGACCATTTATATGAAAAGTGCCATGCTTGCCGGTTTTTCAAACCAAAGACTTTGACAAGAAAAATCGTAAGCCAAGCGGACTGTAGATCAGCCTAAAGTATTACTTTTCGGTTGGAATCGATCATTAGGACAGGTTTCTATGCCTTTCATTCTCTCATCATTCTAATTTAAAATTATTGTCCACCCATTAGGTTTTAAGCAGTGAACGTCTGCTTTCACCTTTTCACTCTTGTCAGAAATAATATTCTACCACTCAAAGGTGAATGAGAAACTTCTCAGACGAACGAAATACGTTGTTTCAAAGTAGTTGACGAACAGTTGCAAATAAGCAACTAAACAATCTAGTCTTCATAATATCAAGACAAAACTTCGTATTGTGCGATTGTTTGTAATCGTTTCACTGAGTATTCACCAATGAATGGTGTCATCCCTTAAGTAGTAATTTACTGATCTATATTTGAGAGGAATCTGCAATTTCTGTGCATAAACAAACCGTACTTAATAAGTGTGTGATATTCAATTATCGATAGAGTAATAGTTTTTGGTCCTCGCTAAATAAATGGGGTGCCCTGTGAATTAATATTATCTTTGATGTATGCTACTGATAAGTATTCCAAAATCCTCATAATTAACTGTACATATTATGATAGGTTCAGGTTTCGGTGACGAATAGTTTGAATACTTAACTTCTTACATCCATTATGCCATAGTTTCTAACTTTCGGGTAAAAAGTTTGACTGAAATCATACTTGTTCTGATTGGCATTCATTTAGTTAACAAACTGATAGCCATAATGGCTACTTTCTTCCAGAATTCTTTATTTTGCTAATTCTTTGTTAGCTATAAGTTTCATGTTAGACCTAGTGTCATGGCTCATTAAATATCACTAATCATTGCAATCCTGTTTTTATGCTCTGATCGTTCATTTAATCGTTCTTGTTGACTTTTCAATTTTGTCATAGTTACAGAAGACTCAGTGCAAATATATATATATATATATATATATATATATATATATATATATATATATATGAAACACATTCTCTTGTTCTTGCTAAGGTGTAATCCCACATTGGGACAAAAACAACTGACCAGTGATTTTTTGTTTGCTTTTCAATGGTTGTCTAATCTAAATCAGTTCCTATATATAAACTACACTATCAAATAAGAATAAAGTTTATTTCATTACCTTCAATTTTTACTTTAATCTATCACATTAATATGTGCATGTACAACTTTCTTTTTCCCTAATTTTTTTCATTTATTTAGGTAATGATAGTGGGACCGCTTTTTGCTTGTTCCCTTGGTGGTGCTGTTTTCGTTCTACTTGGTTTGGTACGTTGATACTTTAGATTTTTTTCATCTTACTCTAACTGAAAATATCGTAACATGTGCCCACTAGTGACTAGCTTCATGAGGAAATTCTCGGAGTACTAGTAAGAAAACGTGACCGACGGAATTCAGCCCTGTAGACTGTAGGCAGTAACTAACAAAGACAGGTGTTCGAGATCGCGCAAAATCCCTAGATCAATCAGAGTTAGACATTAACACCATTGGATGCCGGACCAGTGGTCCGATGGTTAGGCGTTCGCACACAATATCGAAGGTCCCGGGTTCGAATCACGTGAGGTGCAGCAGTCGTGGATGCGTACTGCTGATGAGTCCCACACCAGGACGAAACGGCTGTCATTCAGTGCTTCCAGGTTTCTAATCGTGTGGTCTAACAATGATTGATTGATGATTTCAAATGTGTAAAAAGACACTAATCTCCAAATCTCTAACTGAAAATATTACTTATTTCTGTCTTTTTAGAAAATACATGAAAAATCTGATTTTTAAAAAAAAGCTTAATGCACATAATTTTTTTTATCAATTATAAAGAAGCATCATAGTAGTATGACTCAAAAATTATGCATAGATTTTGTTTTGAGCTACACACTACAATTTGGAGCCGTATTTATTTTAGAAGGTAACCACCGTATTATTTGAATAATATCGATTTTGACAAATTACAATTACTGTAAAGTATACCAACTTTTATCAGTGTTTAACATCATAGTATTCTGCTTGTACCATGAGTACCTTCAAATGTTTTCAATTAGAGTTATGGAGATCAGTGTTTTTTGCACATTGAAATCACCAATCAATCATTGTTAGACCACCATTGAGAAACCTGGACGGTCGTTTCGTCTTGGTATGGAACTCATCAACAGTGTGCATCCACGACTTCTGCACCCCGCAGGATTCGAACCAAGGACCTTCGGCATTGAGCGCGAATGCCTAACCATTGAACCACCTGGCCGGTGTTAATGTCTAACCCTGATTGATCTAGGGATTTTGCGCGACCTCACCCATTTGTCTTCGGTAGTTATTGCCTACACCCGACAGGGCTGAACTCTATCGGTCACGTCTTCTCACTAGTACTCCGAGAATTTCTTCGGTTTTGCGATGATCAATCATTGTTATTGCTTTTAAACATGGAGTAATATTCTTTGTTTAGTGGTTAAACGATTTTAACCCCATAATCTTCATTTCGATTGACAGAGACTAACGTTAAGTTGTAAGTAATAAACGAATCTTTGTTTTGTTTTTAAAAATAAGAACTTTTGTATTCAAGACTTGAGCAAACATATATTTATGATTAGGTCGTTGATATTTCGTAAATCACTTATTTGCAATAATTTACATGTGATGGTTTACATACGCTAGTTGCAACTGATGATGACTGGAGATGTTGAATGTCATAGCTAATTATCAACTCTAATGGTACATATGCCTTCACTCTTGCGCTTTGAAATTATTCCGTGAACTCATTTTATTTAAATCATTGTCGATGACTTATCTTTTCCACTGTGACTGATAAATTATTGCTCTAATTCTACTGATGCCCCCCCTCAATATTTACTTGTCTTCATAATTTCATCTCACTTTGCTGATTGATAGTGTAGTGACCAAATTGAAACAATACACTCCAATGCTAGATTCTGTGCGCTTATAAGTGAGTGAACGATAGAAAACTGTTCATATTTGTTCAGTTTGAATTTATTTGAATGATTTCGTTGTTGTCATTTTCGGCTTAAAAAAATTCTTATCAGTGATTGGTTGATTTTATGGTTGGTTCCATTGAATTACACTGTTAGCCATTCATCATCAATCCATCAAATTTAATATCTTATACATTATGAACATGATTATTATTATTTTATTGTGCTGTTTTTTTCTCTCTGTTCAATCTTAACAGACTCTATTTGTTGGCTCATTGTCTGCATATTATACTCGATTAAAATTAACAAAAGAATTGACCGATTTCAAACAGAGTATTGCATTGAGATCACCGAAAAATCATGATCCAACTGCTTATTTTTAAATAACCAAAATTCTTACAATACTACTGTTACTATTATTATTATGATTACGATTATTATCATTACTATTGTTATTGTATAACAATCTCGGTGTTGTAGACATTCAATGAAGAAGAAAAAAACGTAGTACACTGATATGATTGTAATTAGTTCATTATTTTTTTTGCAAGCGGATGCATTTTCTCAATAGATAAAAAAAAGCAATCAACACGCACACAGGTAGAGGGAGGAGGCAATGTGAGATGGGGAAGAAACAAACTGAGGAGGAAACAGAGCAATCGAGTATTTTTCACAAGTTTGTGTGTGTACACTGTGTCAATTGGTCTAGTTCTACACACACACACACACACAAACTTGACAATGTGTGTGTGTGTATTGCTTTCAATCTATTGTCTGTGTTTATTGTGCATTTTGTGCTTCATCTGTTATTTATTCTCTGTTGTTAAATAAATAAAACTGTCTACGAATGTATGCTTCGGCGGGAAAAAACAAACCAACCAACCAACAAACGTGTACTTATTAATTTGACAAGACCCTTTTTTTTCTTACTCAGCCGTGTTCCCTATCACAGTAATAGTAATGAGAAACTAATTGATATATATATATATATATATATATATATATATATATATATATATATATATATATATATATATATATGGGTATTTTGTTTTAGATTTTATATATACAGTATTTCATATTGTTAGTATTTACTCAATGTGGTTGTTGTTGTTGTTGTATGCTTACTCTCTCTCTCCCTATACTCATTTTGTTTGGCTTAATCATGTTATTCATTACTTACTTCTGTCTGGTTTATCACTATTTATGATAGGATATTCCATTATTATTATTATTATTATTATTATTATTATTATTACTAATATAATGACAAATGATGTATAATTTTTTTTTGTGTGTGGTAATAAACTAGTCAGTAATTTATTCTTTTTTTTTTGAAAAAATAATGTAATATCTCTATGTGTAAATGTTGAAGTTTAACACACACACACTCTCTCTATTTATCCCCTTTGTGTGTTCTGTATCTTGTATGTTCTTAATCAAGATCGTTTATGTGTATATATCTACGTACATAAATGGGTCGTGTTATCTTGCCCAGAACTGATCGATTCGAATTTCTCACTTGACCCTCGTTCATTTACTTCTTCCTTTTCTTTTTAATCAATACAACAGGATCAAGAAATTTTTGAATAAAAATTATTTTTATATATTTCATATATATACATTTATATGTCTCAATTATTACTATTATTATTATTATTATTATTATTATTATTATTATTATTATTATTCACTGTGTTTCATTCATTTTCCCTTCTTGTCATTGTCATTTGTAACGGTCGGTGTCTTTTTTAGTTTATTTCCGAAAATGTTTTACTTCACTGCGCACACTATTATTGACTCTAATGCTGCTGCTGATGTGTAGACAATTGTGTCATTCATTATACTGCCCTTTCCTTACAATATTATTTTTTAATTGAGATAATTATTGCCAATGTATTTTTTCTTTTGTGTGTGTGTGCGTGTGTGCATTTTTATGATTGATAAAACTGAACTTGAATTTAAATAAACAAGTATTACTATTATCATTATTAGTATTATCGCTAAAAATGATGATGATCGACTGAGTGTGTTCACTTATTATTTCTTGATCATAAAAACAAACGATCTCATGATTAATTCTTTATTTTACATTATTAGTATGTATGTAAGTGTACGAATGTTATGTATGTATGTATGTATGTATTTGTCTCCATACTTTTTTTTCGTTTTGTAAACTAACGTTCTTCATAGTTTCAATGATAAACAACATATGTGGATCAATGTTTCCTCTTTGTTTATACACATATAACCATATATATATATGTATATATATATACATCATATATATATATATATATATATACATAAATACTACATGTATACCTATTTTTCAAATTCAAGAAAAAAACGTAAAAAAAAAATACAAAACAAGTTTACTTCAATATTCCATGATATTTGTTACTACTACTACTACTATAATGATTATTATTATTACTACTTACTATTTATTATTGTTAAATGAAAATTTCTTTAAATTTTACTTTGCTAGTTTTTATTCACATTTAAGATATTATTCATATTATGAACATATATGAACAGAAAATCAATGCATTTTTTGGTGTACTTTGTTTTTCGTTTTTTTTTTCTCGGGTCTATTTTAATAAATTTGTTCGTATTATTTTAATTTTGTTTCATTTTTTTTTTCACAAAGGGAAAATATTTTAAATTGTCTAAGGATGGAGAATGAGAACATGATCGATTATGTGAAAATATGATCGATCCTCAGAATGTTAATGACATGTGAAATTTTTAAGTATACTCACGATGTCAACTGTCTAATTTGATCAACAATGTTTTGTTTCGAAATCGGAGTATAAATAATATTTAAAATGGATTAGGATAACCCCTTTTAGTCAAGTATTACCTACTTACTTACTCCTATCACCCCCCGCCAATGGAGCATAGGCTGCCGGCCAGTGTTCTCCAATCCACTCTGTCTTGGGCTTCCTTTTCCAATTTTAGTTCATTCTTCTCACGTCTGTCTCCATTTCTCAGTGTATTGTGTTTCTTAGCCTTCCCTTTTACTCTGAGGGTTCCAAGTAGGGGCTTGTCTTGTGACGTAGTTGTGTACTTTCCGCAGTGTATCCTGTCCACTTTCACCGCTTCTTCCTGATTTCCTCCTCTGCTTGAATTTGGTTTGTTCTCGCCCACATCAGGTTGTTGCTTGATGGTTGTTTTGAGTTTCAGATGTTGTTCAAATATATTGTGTAAAAATTCCACCCAACATTTCTATCAATATAGAATTCTCAAGATAAGTAATTGTGTTGACAGTTCAGCTACTTGTCTGCTTTTATTAGATTGATACAGTGTGTTTCAACCATCTTACACTGGTTCATGACATACACAGACTACCTTTGACTACACTATGAAAAGGAATTTATCGGTAAAAGCGTATTTTGGTAAAGTCGTTTTATCCAAGTTGAAAGCTAACGCTATGCTTTTTGCAATCATATTTCACCAAACACTCATTTGTACAGAATGTCACGATCGTCTTTCCTACATATAGTTTGACTTAGGTTTGTGTTAAGTAAAAACTCAGGGTTTTTGATACTGTAGTCAGTTTGTTATAGATGCGGGTAAATATATTTCCGTAATATATGTCAATTATAGTTAGTGTATAAAGAAACTTCTTTTTGATCTCGTATATGTAAGATATTCTTATATTTGAGTTAAAATCTTCTACCTATTAGTTTTGAATAAAGTTAAATACTGAAGCTCGTTGGCAATAGGTCAAGTGGGTTGTGGTGTCGAGTGATTTAGTTTGGAGGTAAAACTTTCTGTAGGTATTTATCGACACAAAAGAAGTGAGTAATACGGGACTGTTGATGCTCAACTAACGATATTTGTGTGGTGTATACTACTCATGATGTGGCTTATAAGTAGTATGCAGGGGTTTTGGATCCGGATATATAGGACGATCACAGTGCTATGAAGACTAGAAGACACGTGGAAGAAGACAGCCTATGATGCGCTTGTTTCGCAACTTTTCAAGGATAAGGTGTGTACATTTTGATAGAAGAATGTCTCCTTCAAATGAATCATCGTCAGGTCTTACGTCTTCGTTCGTTACACTTGTACAATTTGGTACTTATCAAGTTTAAACTGCCTAACCGTGGTGTCTGACCGCAATACGGTTTTAAAATCTTCAAGGGATAGACAGTTTTCTCATTATTAAATCAACACTTTCCTGATAAGTCCTAAAGCAAAAAGATTCGTAGTTTAGTCGTCATTCCTTCCATTCACATTTCACCCTTTGATTCATAAGAGTTTTCCACTTGAGCGATTCAATTTCAACATCTAATGAACATCATGTTATCCTATCAGCACTTAATTATAACAGTCAATCTTCAAATCTGTGTAATAGTTAATAGTGGATATTCAGTTTTACTAACGAAATAGCTTATGCAAGGTTAAATTGGTAAGTGTAGTATTGAAACTCTAAAGCAGATTACACGTAAACTGTTTCATCATTAGTGAGTACTTCGAAGTGTTAAGAACTGTAAATCTAGAGAATTAGTCAAATCATTCTTCTGTGATAGATGTTCGTGATACACGTATTATTTTTCATAAACTAAGAGGAAACATGAACTACTTATGAAATTACATAATAAACCGAATTAATATGAAAACTCCATCAGTATATATATATATATATATATATATATATATATATATATATATATATATATATATATATATATATATATATATATATATATATATATATATATAATAGATTGACTAATTTGTTTTCTTCAGCTGACCAAATAACATTACTAATCATTTCATTGCTAAAAGTTACAATGATATTCTTCAATAAGCAAGCATCTTAGTACATCGTGTTATCCATTGAATCAAACTTGATAATCATTTCAAAACAATGAATGAAAAAGCATCTCTAGTTCATCGTTGGTTGTGATTATAGTTGTTTGTACTTAACAAAATATAAATTAGAGCAGTAAAACAAAATGTTTATAGTTTACAATCTTAGCTTAACATAACAATTATTATAATCAGTGGTAATTCTATGGAATTTTGTGGTGAACTAATTAGATTTTCTTTTGTCCCCGTAGGCAAAATGAATATTAGAAAGAAACCAGTTATTAACTGCGATAATACGGATGTACTTTTATTTGTTTTAATACTTATCTGAGCAAAAATAAAGGTCATGATATTTTTTTTACAAGATAGAAGTTGTTCATTCGCCGAATTATTCTGACTAAATAAATTCTAAGCTCTACTTATTTCGATTATTTACAATGTTGGACTAATTTAATTTATGAAATGAACACACATAGGGAGATGATTAAAGTGCATGATTTCTACTCAGGAGATTATCTTTATGACTTTTAGTTCTAATTTAGCATGTTTCATTGTTGGCTATACA